GCGCGAGGTCCGCTGCGGTGCGGAGTTCTCTGCGAACTTCCGGGTCGTGACCACCCTCGTGCAAGTCCCTCAGTGCCTTGGCCTGGTGCACTTGCAATCACGCCGTAGCGTGTAAGGCGGAGGCAGCTTCTCCACAGGTCGTATAAGCATCGCTGGCCAGTCGAGTACCTACAGACCCGGGAGGGGAGGCACGGTTCTCCCTGCCGTTTGGAGGCGGTATTAGGACACAACTGCATCGCAACCGACCGCTCCACCGGGGGGACCCTTGTAACCCCCTAGCTGCCCCACCATCGAGGGTGGTGAGGGAGGAGGAACCAGCAGATCGGTTTCCGGCAGTAAAAAGGTGCCGTCCACGACTTGTTGAGCTCCTCATGCACCTCCGGGAAGAAAGGCACCGAGGCGGGGCGCTGAGAACCAGTGCGGACCACCCCGAGAACCAATCGTGCAACCTTGAGGGCTCGGGACACGGTGGAAGTCTCCACTCGAGCCCTACCCCTACGGCGGCCCGGGAAAGCATAGCCTTTATTTCTGGATCCGATTCAGGCATTGCTACAGTCCCGGAGGAGAGCAGCGCAGCTGAATCTTCCTCTCCAGAAAGCTCTGGCTCACCCTCCGATGCAGCAATCGACATCTGGTCGTTGGGAGGAGCACCAAAGGATACGGCTGGTACGCTCCTTGTAGAGGGCCCAGCACGTTCCATTGGCAGCTCAACTGGCTGCGGAGTGCCTCAGACCGCCCGCGCTACTGCCTGAAGTAGCCCCCCCTGGCTGCCGCCATGAGGAGAACTAGATCGAGGCAGAGGCAACGGAGCTCTGCCCCTTTGAGGTAACTGAGCTTGGCCCGCAACTCCGAGATGATCATCTTCCCGCAATGAGAACATGACTCGTCCACAAACGCCACCTCAGTGTGCTAGATGCCCAGGCACGTGAGGCAGCGATCGTGACCATCACCCGGCGCCAGGTAACGACCGCACCCAGAAACACACGGGTGGTAAGACATCTTTAAAAAGACGCGTCTTCAAAAAGACGTTCCACCCGTGAAGCTCTTTTAGTATGGAAATTGCTCTTTTAGTGTGCTGAAGCGCACAGGGGAGATGGCCGTCTGCAACACACACAGGGGTAGTGCAGCCTGTTGTGTGCAACCCACTCGACACGGGAAAACCACCGCCGCTGAAGCGCCGTACCACCAGCACGAGAGCCCACTTCTAAGAGCGTGCTTGACTGTAGTTTTTACTTCTCTACGTAGAAGGTCAGGAGCAGAACGATAGAACCGCTCGGCTCTGAAGTGAAAAGCTGAATATGCGCTGCATCTGCTGCCTACTTATACTCACGCTGTGATCAGCGGCAGCTGGATGCAATAATCGCATGCCAATGTGCATTGGCTCGTTTAGTTTACACTCGAAGTAGATTGGTCTCTCTAAGCGAGATCCCAATTCGTCGGTCATCCGACGTGACGTCGAGAGTGACCGACTGAAAGGGAACTAAATGTAGTGTTGACATTTATGAATAGAGCACAATTTGCCCCAAAATCTCTCTAATTTATGTATTCTCATGAGGTCAGCCACAAAAAAGATTGTGGTCTAATGTCTCTTTTTTTTTCTAATTTCCATATTTAAGAAATTTCCCATCATAAGTCAGTTGGTTGTCAGCCATCTCTTGGATGTCCCTTCAGCTTCGCTGTAACTCTCCAGCAGAGCCAGACGCCCCATAAGTGGAGCTTTTGCTTTTTTATTGATCTCTTTTTTTCTCATAGCTGGAAGGGCACAATATTTTCTCCAACCTGACTTCCAGTGAGTATGAGCAGGTGCTGGAGATCATCAGGAAGGCCATCATCGCTACAGACCTCGCTTTGTACTTCGGCAACCGCAAGCAGCTGGCTGAACTGCTGGCCACAGGGGTGCTGGACCTGAACAACCGTGCTCACAGGTCAGAGGTCATAGTTCATCTCCATTATCACAGAACTCTTGTAAATCTTACCTCAACTTCAGAGATATTTTCAGGGAGCCATCTGAAACAGTGTCATAGGCTGTGCTTGAAGTAGTAATACAGTGGTTCCCAACCCTGGTCCTTGAGGCACCCCAACACTGCACATTTTGCATGTCTCCTTAATCAAACACACCTGATTCAGGTCATCAGCTCATTAGTAGAGAGACTCCAAGACCTGAAATTGGTGTGTCAGAGAAAGGAGACATGCAAAATGTTCAGTGTTGGGGTGCCTCCAGGACCAAGGTTGGGAACCACTGTAGTTACATACTGCTTGAATGAATCTCACAAAAACTGTTACACTTTATTTGAAGGTGAGATTTTCTTTGTGTAATTGCACAAGTACTGAGTAATTAACTGCATGCACTTACTGTATGTTAAAGGTTAGGGATTGGTTTAGGATTAGCTGCTTGTAATTTTGCGTAAATTCTGTTATTACTATAGTAAGTATATGTAACAACATCACTTTAAAATAAAGTCACCAAAGAAAATATATCCAGGTTGCATTTCACCCTAAAGTCAAAAGACAAAAATAACAAGTCTTATTTTGCGCAAAGAAAGCCTTTTTAATTTTTTTTCTTTTTCTATTATGACATTGATTATTATTTTATTTGACAATTAAGCACATTTTCTTCCAAAAATCTCATTGTTATAATGCACCATGCAGACATTACTAAATCAAATCAGTGTAAATTAAAAGCTGTATGAATGAATTTCTCACAAAACTAACATTTTAGGTGTTATAAGGTTTGTTTTTGTTGTTGGTTTTTTGATAAATTTGACCAAACTGTGAATGAAATGGGTGCTTTGTCAATACTATATGATTTTAGACGTTTTTGAAATCTATTACAACTTAATTCAAGCAAAGCAATAGCTTTGTATCTTAATGTAGAGAATTCCTAGTATGTGTAACTCACACCCTGATCTGATCCCGCTGATGAATTGCTATGTGATTATTTGTCCGCCGCAGGGACCGTGTGATCGGTCTGATGATGACGGCCTGTGATCTCTGCTCTGTGACCAAACTGTGGTCCGTCACACAACTCACAGCCAATGACATCTATGCTGAGTTCTGGGCTGAGGTAAGCTTTAATCATTCTTAACCAAGCATAAATCTTGTTGTAACAATATTTTGTAATAAATTAAATCATTGAACAAATCACTGTATTGTTTTGAGCGGTATGTCAAACTGCAGGCCAGACCTCTGAAGGACAGTCAGTGAAATTGTTCATCTTGTTTGTGATGATAGGGGGATGAAATGAAGAAGATTGGAATGCAGCCCATCCCTATGATGGACAGGGATAAAAAGGATGAGGTTCCCCAGGGACAGGTAAATCAGAACTTTCTGTCATTATCAAGCTCCTAGAAGAACATTGCTTTTCCAATCCCATGCCTTCACGTCAGAAGTGTGCCTAAAACGTTGCCTAGGTAGGCAGCTCATTAGGTTAACTTGTAGAGTAAATGCTAAATTTGAGTTGCGAAGCCATTTTTTTATGTCTTTCCATGTTCAGTAGTACCTGAGTCCTGTTTTACCCATGTTCTCAGGTCGGGTTTTACAATGCTGTGGCTATTCCCTGTTACACCTCCCTGTCAGAGCTGTTTCCTCCCTCCGGTCCTCTGCTTACAGCCTGCAGGTCAGTCACACGCTCAACACAATGTTTGACTGCATGAATGCTCCAATGCTGTGATATAATCATCCGTCTTCGTAAGCACTAGCAAATTGAACCAATTGACTAATATTTCAAAATCTGCTTGGCAAAACTAATATTATAAAACAGATTCCTGGATGAGCCCTATATTATAATTGCTATATGCAGACCTGTGACCACACGTCAACTTAATTTTATATTAATGCGCCAAGTGGCTATGTTGCTTTACAGACATAGCTGTATTACTTAATGGAAGTATTGCTTATTGGGATGAATATAATTTTATATCATTAATTGATTTTTCATGAAATTATTTAAAGCTTGTTATTAAATGTAAAAAAGTTGCACGTTGGTAGCATATTCAAGTTGATACTATGCTAGTTGCTAGATAAGGTTCAATAAGTTTAGCACATATTAATAGTCTTTATACACCATTTTCTTTCCTGCTCTGAAACTGGAGTTAATTGCGCTGCTTTGCTCAGGTCACATTAACCGACTTCGATAATGTAGCCATTGTGCTAGTTCTGATGTGAGGATGGGTCCGTGTCTAAACTTCTCCCCCTGTACCCCTAAACTGGTTGAATGCTTGCGAGCCTCTGTGAGCCTGATCTGTGGGGAATGCAAACACAGTTGATGGCGCAATTTGAAAAGCCTTGCCACTGTGTCAGCCTCGACCCTATGCCTGTTACCTGGACTGTGATTGTTTATCTGCCTGCCCCGTCCTCACGCCTGTTCTCTGGTTTGTGAATGTTAATCTGCCTCCTCAGTGTTGCTGCCTCCGTACTGTATTTATCGTTGTGATATTAAAGCTGCAGATGGATCCTCACTCCTCTGACTCGTCGTTACAGACGTATTGACCAAAAAAAAAAAAAAGGAAAGTTAAACAAATCAAAGCTATCTTTTATTTCAGCAACACTGCTTGGCTACTTTTCAGGGTTGTTGTTTTGTTTTGTTTTTTTGTTTTCGTTTTAAATTTTAGTTTTGTGAGGAAAAACATAGTTACACTTTATATTTTATCTGAAAATAATGATTTTAAGCATTTAAGAATAAATGCATTTTTAAGATTTTAAAATAAACAAATTCATTCAAGTTACATTTCAAGTGAGAAGTTACATTATAAATTCAAAAGCAGTGTTTCAACACAACAACTGTTACCATTAATCAAATCACCATTAACCATATACTTTATAACCAAACAGAGCACAACTGAGAAATGCAACAACAATTCTTACTAAAAGTATTTAAGAATTTTTTAATAGCAATATTTATTTAAAATCATACACTATCTTTTAAAAGTTTTTTTCAGAAGTCTCTTGCCTCACCTCACATGCATTTATTTGACCAAGAATACAATAAATAATAATAATAATAAATGCTGTGAAATATTACGATTTAAGAGCTGTTTTCTATTTTAATATGTTTTAGAATGCAGTTTATCCCTGTGATGACAAAGCTGAATTTTCAGCATCTTTACTCCAATCTTCAGTGCCACATGATCATTCTAATATGCTGATTTGCTGCTCAAGAAACATTTCTTATTATAATGTTGTGCTATGTTGAAAAAAAAAACATCTTAAAGAAGGCGAAAATGTGTGAAAGCAAAACTTGCTATTTCTCACTTTAGTCACTTAATTTGTGGACTGTTTTGCCACATTTAAACTATAGACCAACTGTTAAGATTTTGCTGTCTGTGTTTGCAGGGAAAACCTGGCCCAATGGGAACGAATCGTGCAAGGAGAGGACACCTCTGTGTGGGCTTCTACTAACAAGGCCGAACTGAGCGAGACATCAGACAGTGGACCAGTAAAAGTGGACAATTGAATCCGTGGCACCTGTCCCACAGCACCACCTACACCCTGCCAGAGACACTGGACTTCCTGTGGACAGTCCCACATCCTGCAGAGACAGGATGAAGCGCAGAGGCCAGGCGGGGAAGTATACATTCAGAAAAAATAAACAAAACATAATGTTACCTCAGTGGGTGACGGAGGCGTACACTCTAATGACATCAGGGCTCCCTTGTTGATGGCTGGGACTCAAGTCCACTCTGTGTGGGATCACTTCAGCAGAATGGCAGTACTTGTCCTTAGGAGGTTGCTTCTGCATATTTTCGTTTAGGTGATTATTTTTCTTTATCTCAGTTTCTTTCCTGGTCTTACATTTGAAGAGGCCTTAAATACGAACCTGAGTTACGATCTGGTTGGGTGACTTGCAACTAGAAGATTGTTCGTCTAGTTTAATATGGTACTTTTTATCCTGCTGTGGTCACAAATGTTGTACGCAATGAGTGGATTTATTTTTTAAGACAGACAGAAAGAATGTTAAGTCGCAGTTAAGGTGCATATGAGGCACGATAAACCGATCGCTCTGGTGGTCTGATGGATGTTTTATATAATATTTTGAGCAAAAATGTTTTGCAGTACTTGAATGAAGAAATACAGCCTATTCTGAGTGGAGTTGAAAACAAAAGCGCGTCCTTCCAAAGCAACAAGCTTTTGTGATGGCATAAGTTTCACTCTGAACCTTACTGTATTCACACACAAGTCACGGTGTTCCTCGCTGAAATGAAACTGTCACAATTGCAGCCAATGGCAAACAAGAAAGGGGCAGAGTGTAATCGAGTGAGTTTGTAAGTTTTATTATCAGTTAAAATCCTTACAAAACTACAGTGCTTAACAAATTTATTAGACCACCTGTCAAAAACTTTAGTTTAAAACTAAAAATGTTATTGTCATTTATTAGACAAATAACAAACTGAAACAACTAAATATTCTTTATTCACACATAATAACCAAAAAGCTTATATAGCCTGTTTTATTTTTATTTTGTATGGCCTCCTTTGGCCTTGATAACAGCTTGCATTCTTGCTGGCATTGTTTTTATGCACTTTTCCACGGTCTCTGTTGTTGTTGACTTCCAAATAGTTTCTAGTTGTTCCCAAAGACTTGCTTTTGATTAACCTTTTGTGCAATCTATCTTTGAATCCATTAAATCCCAACAATAATTATATTTTAGCATTAGAAAATGTGACTAAAGAGCTTACACATACTGGTGGATTAACCTTTACAGAAACATACAAAATATTATTGTGGTAATCAACACCAATACTTTAGTTTAGGGCAGCTGTGGCAAAAACCTTACATTGGGTGGTGGTCTAATCAATTTGTTAAGCACTGCATATGTTGAGCTGAGGACAACAATGACTGTAAAAAGACGATCCACACTTCTTTGTTGGCCATAGAAGTCTGAAGTGATTAACAGATTGGATTATTATCATTACTTGCGCTAATGCACTCTGTGTCATTGCCCAGGGGCACCAAATAGTCTTAATCTGCCACTGCTCATTCAATACAAGTTTTTGACGTCAGACTGCCGCACACTAATAGGATGTTCAAAAACAGAAGTCTTAAAGGGGTCATATGATGTTGCTAAAAAGAACATTATTTGGTGTATTTGGTGTAATGAAATGTGTTTATGCGGTTTAAGGTTCAAAAAACACATTATTTTCCACATACTGTACATTATTGTTTCTCCTCTATGCCCCGCCTTTCTGAAACGCGTC